AAATTAGGCTGTGCCCATATCATCAGTATGAGTATGAGGGCATCATCCTGAGGGTAAGAAAAAATTGTAGTTGCCAACCAACTGCCAAACATGGAGACAGTGGCAATTTATGATAATCAATGAATGATTTTTATTTAAATTTATTAACAATGAAAACGAATCGACTATAGCGGAAATGATAAACGATGAACAACTGCTAGTGGAATTCTTAATGCAGTTCGCAATAAAATTATGCAGTTTTAATTGTCATAACTGTAATGTGATGCAAAAATTGATATAAGTTTAGGACACTAATAACATTAACAATTTTATATCTATTATGTCACCTAGTAAATTATAAATTTTATTACTCTGTTATTTCTGTTTGAAATTTGGGCAGTTATGTCCTCATTCATTAGCACATACTTATTCATATAAAACAAATTTGCTCCTCACAGTCTGTACGCTTCATCATCATCATCATCATTACAGCCCTTCACAAGTCCGCTGCTGAACATAGGCCTCCCCTAAGGAATGCCACAAAGCTCGGTCCTGAGCCACCTGCGTCCACCGACTTCTTCTTCTAGTGGGAGGACGCCCTACACTTCGTCCGCGGTACGAGGCCGCCACTCGAGAAACATTTTTCCCATTGGTTGTCGGTCCTTCGGGCCCATTGCCACTTCAGCTTACTAATCCGTTGGGCTGTGTCGGTCACTCTGGTTCTACTGCGGATATTCTCATTTCTAAGTTTATCACGCAAAGAAACCCCAAGCATAACACTCTCTATAGCTCGCTGAGCGACCTTGAGCTTCCTCATACGGCCAGCAGTGAAGGACCACTCAGTTCCACAGGTCATCACTGGCAAAACGCATTGGTTGTACAGTCTCGTTTTCAAGTTTTGAGGTATACCTGACGAGAAGAAGTGCCGTAATTTCCCGAACGCTGCCCAGCCGAGTTGAAGCCGTCGATTGACCTCTCGGTCGAAGTTGGACTTACCTACTTGGACTATTTGTCCCAGGTAAACATACTCGTCAACAACTTCGAGCTTAGTGCTCCCAACAACTACCGGCATAGGTGTGACATGGACGTTATACATGATCTTTGTTATGTCCATGTTCATCTAAGACCTATCCGTTGGGAGGCACTATTGAGGTCATTGAGCATTGTGCTTAGGTCCTCCATGCGATTCTGCCATAAGGACTATATCGTCGGCAAATCGAAGGTGAGTGATGTACTCGCCATTGATGTTAATACCGTATCTTTTCCAGTCCAGTAGCTTGAAAACGTCTTCCAATGTAGCGGTGAAGAGTTTCGGCGATATAACACCACCCTGTCTAGACAAATTGGCAGGTTGTACTCTTCAGTCTTCTGTACAATTTGCCGAAGGGTATGTATGTGGTCTACGGTGTTAAAGCCTTTTCGAAAACCGGCTTGTTCGAGAGGCTGGAAGTCGTCGAGTCTGCAATGAGAGACGATACGTAATGACTCTCGAAAACAGCACGTATAGACGCGGCTCAGATGGGAAATCGGTCTGTAGTTCATCAAGAGAGCGTTGTCGCCACCTCACTTCTGCTTCACGCCTCCGGTGTATTGCGAGAGAACGGAATTGAAGAGCTTCTGAAGGACTACAAATACCGGTTTTCCACCCGCTTTTAGAAGCTCCGCTGTAATTCCATCCTCGCCTGGGGTCTTGCCGTTTTTAAGGTGCTGGAAAGCCATTCTAATCTCGCTCAGACTGACGTCCAGAATATTATCGGGATAATGTCGAATAAGACTTGCTCTAGGATCGTTACTCACACTTGCGTGTGGTTCCAACGATGATGTGTACAGCTGCCCATAGAACCTCTCAATCTCACTGAAAATCTCAGGTGTCCCGGAAACGATGCTGCCACATTCGGTCTTCAGCTTCGACAGTTGGCTCTTTATGGCAGACAGATCTCTGGCAAAGACTTTGAAGGAGCTTATTGAAGAAGCGATCGAGTGGAACCAGGGCGGTTCCACTCGATCGCTCCTTCAATAAGTGCTGTATTGAACTTGCGCAAGTCCCGCCGCATGCGTTTGGAAATCTGTCTGTTCAGTTGCCTGTATGCTGTCAAATCTGCTGAAGAGTACAGCTCCATTTCCCGTGTAACAGCCATTAGATTAAGAGTGTGATCAGAGTTTTGTGTTCTTCTGCAACGGGTCTTGCGGAACTTAGCTCCGAACGCATGGACAGTTTCCACGAGCTTGTCATTCATATCCTCCACTGCACTGAAAATGGTTTTGCAGCTCGACCTGAAAGGTTTCGGGAATTTGGATCAGAGCACGAGGGAGACGGAGCATTGACTTCATTAGACGAGACCTCTCTAACTTAACGTTTAGGTTTAGTGTGCCTCTAACCAGTCGGTGGTCGCTAACAGTTTTCACCCTCGCGATCACTAAGACGTCACTGAACAGTTGGACGGTCACGCGAGTTTAATGCCTTTCCCTATCTCAAAAGTGACCAATGCGCTTAAAGAAGTTTTCACCTCAAAAATAATTGAACTTGTTTACATTGACGACGATATCGCCTAACATACATAAAAAAGGAAAACTTACAGTCAAATTGAAAACCTTTCCTCCTTTTTTTAGTTGTCAAAAAATTCTACAAAGCTATAATTTTTAATATTGTACACAATTTTTCTAATGTTTGTATGTTACACAGTTACACTCCAATAACCTTCATTAATATTGCATGCAACGGAATTACAGACAACCTGTATTTGTTTGAAAATGTTTAATTTTTAGTCATTTGGTATTTGTGTTTATAGTTTATAAATGAATAAATTTGTAGATTTTCGATTCCTTTGACATGAATAGAATAGAATGATTTATATTCAATATTGATTATTACATAATACTCATTGAAAATCTTTTTTTTTTTATTTTCCACTGGTTCAAAAAATACCTCCGTTCTGGGAAGAACCAGCAAGAAACCCAGCGGGACTTTTTTTAAACATATTTCAGTTACAGTTTTTAAATGAATTTTCATAGAACCAACACTCCCAGAGGTTATTATCATTCATGTATTCCTCGATATTATAATACCCCGTTTTGTAGTTTTTTTTTAATAAAACTTTTAAACTTGTTTATTGACAAACTTTGAACATGTTCTAGGATTTTGTTGTAAAAGCGTATACATTGCCCCATAAATGAATTACTGATTCTGTGGAGTCTAGTATCTGGCATTACAAGCTTATGTTTGTTCCTAGTGTTTAAAGTATGAACATTTTTATTCTTATCAGAGCTATTTATGTTTTTATGTACGTACATTTTCATAAATATATTGTGATGCCAAAGTTAATGTTTATTCCTTTAAATTTTTCTCTGAGGGACTATTTACAATTTAAGTTATAAATCGCTCATACGGCTCTCTTTTACAAAACCAATATGGCTTCAATATCAGTCACATTACCCCATAACAAAATTCCATAAGACATTGCGCTACAAAAGTAAATAAAATAACTAATCTAGTTGTTCAACATCTGTGAGACATCTAATTTTTCTTACAGCATATGCTGCAGAACTAAGTCTGCTTGCTAATTTAGATATATGTGAAGAATGAAGCTTAGCGACAATAGTAATACCAAGAGAAACAGTGGTATCCACAAGACTCAACTCATCCCCATTTAGGAGCACATTGGTATTCGAATGTTTCACATTAGGTGTTGTAAATTTAATATATTTTGTCTTATTGCCGTTTAAGAGCAAATTGTTGGCGTTAAACCAATGTACTAATTTCGATAGAGCATTACTTACTTCGTCATAATTAATTGACTGCAATTTGAGTAAGAGGTATCTATATATAACGTGATTTTCCCCTACAAGATAAGGTAAGGATATAGATTAAAAATAGCAATGGGCCAGGAATCCAGCCCTGAGAAACGCCCATTGATACTACCGATCCGGAGGAAGGAACCTTTACCTTTGATCACGACTTTTTGAGTTCTGTTACATAAGTATGAAATAATAAGTCTAAGCGCAATATTTTTAACACCGTAATGTTGTAGTTTCCTGATTAATTTCTCATGATGAACACAATCGCAAGCCATGGAAAGATCACAAAAAATACCTAAGGCATCTTGTGAATTCTCCCAGGCATTAAAAATATATTTAGTAAACTCAACACCGGCGTCCAGATTTAAATAAAGGTATTACTTTAATATGTTTCATTGAATGAGGAAACACACCAGAATCGATACAAGTATTAAAAATAATAGCATTCATATATAATATTTAATATTTTAAAACTATACTATTTATCTACTAATAAATTATATCATTGTAAATTGTAATAACAGGATAATCATAAGTAATACCCATGCACATATGCATCATAGTTTTAGTTTGTACTATAACTTATGCATTACTCTTCAATCTACTCAACAAATGACATAAAATTTGGCTGTTTTTAAAAATTGGATACTACTCTAGAAAGATAGTCCATGGAAATTGTCTCTGCAATTTTCAGACATAATGCACACAAAAAAAATTGAAAAAAATTTGTATTTCTACTACCAAAGATAATTTAAAAAACTAATTAAACTAACTAACTCAACCCAATTTTTGCTTTAAAACAATGATTTATATATAAATATAATTTTTTGTATTGAAAACAATTGGTATTAGAAAATTAGCATATAGAGGTAATGCAAATAAAATTTAAAAAGCAAATATTTATTCTCTATATTTTTAAGTAATGTATAACTTTGGCAAATAATAATGAAAACGAATTTATGTCATTATGTTTATGAACAATGTCTTCAAAAATATTAATATAGAAACAGTTTAATGTGCACTCTACAACTATTTACCATAGATAGAGTCATAACTCAAAATGAACTTAAATATAGGAAGCTTGCAGTTTCGTTAATAACCTGGAACAGCAAACATTAAACATTGAAACAGAAAATGTTGATGTACAGTTTGTATTTTATTCTAGATCAGCCTTCGAACTATTTTATAATTTTCTAAAAACAATGACAATATAAAAAATATCTTACCTCTCCCAACATAGTCTAGTAGGTAATAACTTGCGATATCCATCTCTTATGTAAGGGTTATGCTGCAAATAAGCTGGAGCCTCTTCATATTTTAGAAGCTGCTTGTAGTTTATGTACAAAATATCTTCCTTTGTTAAATTGTTATTATCTTCTAGCCTCTTGCCTCTTCTGAGTAATGTAGTTCCACTGCAATAGTCCTTATCAGTAATGCATTCCTCCTCCACCTTAAACAAAAAATAACAACATAATTATTTCATAATAATGATATGCTATAAATATCACTAAAAAACAATGATATCCATATTAAATTAGGATAACTGAAATACACTAAAATAAATAATCCTATTGTGAATATAGTATTAAAAAATCATGTCCTGTGGTGGATTTTTACAGGCTGATGACAAAGATTTAAATAATTAATATACATTTACTAACTCAAAGAATATAGTTTTATGAATATAATAATCATTATTATAGCCAAAGCACAATAATTCTACAAATATTTAATTTTAAATATTGAAACCACTTCTAAAAATAAGGTTACTAGTTCACTGTTGCATAATGCTTCCCACATAGAGGATTTTACTTAAATGGCAATCAGCCACAATTGGCATAATATTATCAATAGCAGAACAAGTCAATAGTTGCAAGTGACTCAGGACCATGTTTTGGGCAGTGGGGGAGACATGTTCAGCAATAAACTTGAGAAAAATTTGTGAAAGACCGTAACGATGTTGGTGATACTGATGATCATATTCATGACGATGGTGATGATGATACTTTTACTAGTTACTACAAAGAAAGTGATAATATTTTTGTTGTGTTAAACAGTAATAAGTATGAGATATAAAAATTTAATATTTAAAAAACATCTCTGATTACTGAAAATGAAAACAGGCATGGTGACACATGGATTAAATAAATATGATTTATTTAAAACACAATAAAAAATTCTTTCTGCACGTGAATTCTTTGTTTAAATTTTTATATTAAAAACATTTAAAAACACTATACTTCTGTTCAAAATATCGATAAAGGTGACTTACTTTCTCCATAGGCATAAACTGGACAGTTTCAGGCTGGCATTCACTTACTTTTTTTGTCATTGTGATGGTCATGTTGAGTAATTGTATAAATGTTAGATCTATGCTAAATAATAATGAATAATTGACTCTTTCAACAAAGTTATAATTCAGACTCAAAACTTATTCAAACAAGCAAGGTATTGAAATATATTATTAGAATCACTATACCAAGATTTTTATAACATTTTTATTAAGAAAACAAAACCGATCATCAAAAAAGAGCGGAAGAAGACGAATTTTATTATGCAACCCAAAATACAACCTACTCTTAAGAAACTAATATATATACTAAAAAACTAAAAATAAAAAGTACTCTATGACTGTGATAAAAAGACACGATAAACTGCTGTGCTGACACCTGTCAGTGTCAAATCAGCAAATATTTTTGTAACTTAACTATAAACTTTAACTGGCTTTGCGGCTCTGGGTTCTAGCCTTTATGTGCCTCATGCTGTCAAACAGCTGTCATCACGGAGTACCTTATTACTAAGTCATAGAGAGTCCCAGAGTAATTACTAGCATAGAGGTAATCCTAAAATAAGAAAGAAATTCTTGTACTTGAGCTAATTATACATAATATGACATTTTACGTGGTACAACATAAGATAGCTATATGTTTCTAGTTAGTTTGTGATAGCTATACTCTAAGACTAAGGCTATAAGCTAAGCTATACTCGAAAGACAAATGCTCGGGGTTGTACCGACACTAAGGGGATGATAAAATAAAGGCTAGAACTACTGATAATAATGAGTACGCGTAGCGCTCTTGATGGCTATAAGCGAACTGAATTTAAAATACAGTTGCCGTGGAAATATGTAAAAGAGGTCAAGTTGTGAAATGATGACTTGACAATTGTACGTTGCATTTCATGCTTGTACAATATTATTTTCACCTTCTTTATCGTGCAATGTTGCGATCACGCGTGAGCCGTGAGTGTTTCTAGTTAGTTTGTAGTCGTTATCGTTATTTTATTCCATAGATACCTCTATTGATGCCCCATTAGCGAAAATAAAAACGTTGTCGACAAATTCATTTAATTAAGGATAAGACACGCCTTTTAGCTGTTTCGGCTAAGGAATCTCGTCACTGGTTACACGCTTTACCATCAAGTAAGCTCGGCACATTACTTGATGGGGAAAGCTTTTTTGGGGAAAGATTGCGCATTGCCGTAGGAATCCGACTAGGAGTGGCGATTTGTCAACCCCATCAGTGCCCATGTGGTAGCAGCGTTGACAAGTTTGGGCTCCACGGACTTTCATGTAAGAAAAGTGTTGGTAGGTTTTCACGACACAGTTCTTTGAACGATGTCATCCGAAGGGCTCTTGACTCTATAAATGTTCCCTCGGTTTAAGAGCCTTGTGGAATATTAAGAGACGATGGCAAGAGACCCGACGGTATGACATTGGTCCCTTGGGAGAGAGGTAAAGCCCTAGTGTGGGATGCTACTTGCGTAGATACTCTGGTAGCCTCTCATCTCAAGGGTACCTCGTTTAGAGCCGGGGCGGCATCAGAGGCAGCTGAACTGAGTAAGTGACGCAAATATGAGTCTCTGAGAGATGACTACATATTTGTGCTATTTGCTGTAGAGACTATCGGTCCGTAGGGTCCACGTGCGGTGAAGTTCCTAAAGGAACTCCATCCGCGGCTGGTCGTTGCTGCTGGTGAAAAGAAGGCTGGTTCTTTTCTCGCTCAAAAACTAAGTATAGCCATTCAGCAGAGAAACGTAGCCAAAGTTCTTGCCACGACACCGCGGGAAGTAAGACTATATGATAATTAAGTTTCTAGTTTTAGTTTTTTTTTATTATTACAGTTTTAATATTGTATATAATAAAACATTGTATATGTGTAGAAAAAAATTAAGGATTTTGACTTATCCAGTTCGTAAAATACTTATTTATATCAATAAAAGTTAATTAAAGCTCTTAATAAAAACGTAGCCTATATATATATAAGAAATCATCATAAAATCTACAACATATTATGAGTTTCACCAGAAATGATAACTGTAAACATGTAATCAAGTACCTCTTTGAAATATTTTATTTTGTTGTTTTTAGGTATAAAATTTGTGATGGTCTAATTAAATTTTGTATCATCAACTTCGGGTTTGCTTCACGGAACGTACATAGAGCGCACTGCTACGACACAATAAATATAATAATCTCTCATTGTTTTTTATTTTCTGAGTAAGTGGTCTTTTTACGTGGTAGCGACATGCTGCAGCTATATTAGTAGTATAGTTGTAGCACGAATAGGTCGGCTCGACCGGGGAAGAACGACGCTCTCACAGAATAACAGCGTCAAATAGCAGCTTCATGCTGCTGTGTTTCGTATGGTGAGTGTAGAGAACCGGAGACCCTTTTTACTGGAAAAGAGGCATTCTATCTTAGTCCTCACGGATGACAACGCATCTACATTTTGATTCGCAAACGAGGATAAATGTAAATGTCTATGGGCCACAGCAACCACTTACCATCAGATGGACTGTGTGCTCGTTTGTCACCCTATCATATAAAAAAAAAGGTTGAATCAGCGTATAAAATTAGAATAACAAATGGGATCTAACTCACTTATGTGCCGTGTGACTGTCAAGACTTAATATTCATACCTCACTAACTAATAGTTTTTAATGTTTGTGACACGATTATTTGCAATGTTATATATCATCATTAGTTAATTTAGAAAAAAGTTACTTAATCCGCTCGCTTAATCGATCTAAAAAATAATAAGTCTAGTTATGTTTTCTTTATATTTAAAGACATATGATGAAGTAATACGTAGGTCACTCTAATAAGTTTTGAGATGCTCGAAATTTAGATCTTAACCGTGAACATTTGCGCGCTATGATATATTATGATTTTGAATTTCGTTTAACAGAACAATTAAGTTTACAACGGCTACAATCAACATTAGGGAACTCAGTTCCCTCACACGCAACAATTTTTAGGTGGTTTGCTGAATTTAAAAGGGGTAAAATGAATCTTAAAGATGACCAAAGAACCGGGGTGCCGCAAACAGCAGTACGGCAGAAAATGTATAGACTACTGAAATGTTGTTGCGAGAAGACCAGCGAATCACATATACGGAAATTGAAAAGATTGTAGGCTTCGGGGAGCATTCATACCATCCTAGATCAACATCTTGGAGTGAGGAAGCTTTGTTGTCAATGGATCCCTCGTTTGCTACCCGAAAGCAAAAAACAGACTCGTGTGGATTGGTGCCATGAAATGCGTCTACATATTGAAAACTAGGCATCTAGGCGTGTTTCAGAAATCTTTTATAGATGTTTTGCCAGCAGGCGAGAGAACTGTTCGTTACCTGAAAAGCAAAATAAAATTAGAAAGGGTAGAGAATGCAAATGACACGACAAATGATTCATCAAATGTTTTTCAAGCAAAGTCCAGGATGTTATATCAGAATAATTTAAATTGTTTTGGCTGTGGACAGTCTGGACACATTAAAAGAGATTGTCGTTTAGGAAATGTAAACAGTGGTCGAGGTCGTTGATTATATGGTCATTGTGGACGTGGATCAAATTATGCCAGAAATTTTCAAAGAGGACCAAGAATGTGAGACCAAGTCATGAAAGTCAAAGTAATAGTTTTCATACTACTATTACAAATAACTGTGATATAGGAAATATGTCAATGAATAGAGGCGTGTTTATGCTTCTATAACTTTAATTGGACTGTACCTTATTCTACCTTAACACTAATATATATAGTCGTGGGGCTATAGGTATACTACACTACATAACGCTTACACAACAAGTGAAAATAATAAGCCTAGTGAAGGTCAAATAGATTGGTTACTTGATAGTGGATATACGGATCATATTATTAACACTGATGAGTACTTTGATACCTGCGAGACATTAAAACACCTGTAAAAGTAAAAATTGGTAATGGAACAATATTATAAGCTACAAAAGATCGTCATATTACAACATGTTTCCTGGTTTATGGGAAAAAATCTGAAGTGATGTTAAATGTCTTTTATGTAAAAGAAATCATTCAATCGTTTCAAGAGGAAGATTGTCAAAATACAAATGGAAAGATTATAGCAGTTTCAATTAAGGATGAGAGACTCTATAAAATGAAAAGCTACATGAATCAAGAAACATTGCAAGTGAATATGAGTAAAAGTAATATAACTTTAAAAGAAAAACTACACCGCACATTGAGACAAATGCATTTTAATAAATTGGAATTAATGTGTAAAAATGAGACATTAGAAGGATTACCTAAAGAGATTGAACCTGATTATTTAAAGTGCTCGACCTATATCAGAAACAAAATGTATAACATAATCATTTCATAATATCTGTATCAGAAACAAAATGCATAACATAACCATTTCATAATAATCGAAGAAGAGCAGAGGCGATATTAGAGATTGTGACTGATATGTGTGTCTGTGATAGAAAGATTTAAATGAGCCACATCAGACTACAGGGAATCATGGAGAAAAATATTTTTTGAGCTCCATAGATGACTACAGCAAATTAGTTAAAGTTTACTTTATTAAGACAAAAGATGAGGTATATTATTACTAAGTGCAATATGTAAATGTGATACAAAACTTTACAGGAAAAATAATAAAGGAACTGAGATGTGACAACGGGAAGGTGTCCTGTTTTTAAGATAAGCAGCTGATTTAATTACTTCAGGCCAAAATTTTCTCTCTACCTTTGCTTCTGATAAAATACATCTGGCCATGTTCATTAGTGATCGATTGCATCTCTCTGCAGTTCTCGTAAGAATAATAATGTTGATCTTGTAGATTGTTGACGCTAATTGGGCAGGAGACACAGCATTTGTTATTAGACTTTTTGGGAACGTCATTTATTGTAAATAAAAAAAACTGGCCAAGTGCGAGTCGGTACTCACGCACCGAGGGTTTCGAACAAATCCGTAGGTATATAAGTTTAAAATTATTAAAAATATTTTTTTTATATGATGTAACTAAAAATTTATGCTTTTCGCAATGTTTCCTTTATCTGTGCTATAATACATTGCTTCGTACCAAATTT